AAGTTAGATATAGAACAAAATATGAAATTGGAGGTGACTATTGGAAAAAGCTGTATTTTGCAGACACAATTAATGTTAAAATTTTGCAGACAAGTTAGATATAGAACAAAATATAAAAATGATAGGGGATTATAAGGTAAAATCTGTATTTTGCAGACAGAATTAAGTTGATTTTTGCAGACAAGTTAAAATAAGAAGGATTTTGCAGACAAGTTAGATATAGAACAAAATATGAAATGATAGGGATTATAAGGTAAAATCTGTATTTTGCAGACACAATTTAATGTTGAATTTTGCAGACAAGTTAGATATAGAACAAAATATAAAATGATAGAGGATTATTAGGTAAAATCTGGATTTTGCAGACAGAATTAAGGTTGAATTTTGCAGACAAGTTAAAATAAGAAGGATTTTGCAGACAAGTTACATATAGAACAAAATATGAAATGATAGGGGATTATAAGGTAAAATCTGTATTATGCAGACAGAATTAATGTTGAATTTTGCAGACAAGTTAAAATAAGAAGGATTTTGCAGACAAGTTAGATATAGAACAAAATATGAAATTTGAGGTGACTATTGGAAAAATCTGTATTTTGCAGACACAATTAATGTTGAATTTTGCAGACAAGTTTGATATAGAACAAAATATAAAATGATAGGGGATTATAAGGTAAAATCTGTATTTTGCAGACAGAATTAAGGTTGATTTTTGCAGACAAGTTAAAATAAGAAGGATTTTGCAGACAAGTTAGATATAGAACAAAATATGAAATGATAGGGTATTATAAGGTAAAATCTGTATTTTGCAGACAGAATTAAGGTTGAATTTTGCAGACAAGTTAAATTAAGAAGGATTTTGCAGACAAGTTAGATATAGAATAAAAATATGAAATGATAGGGAATTATAAGGTAAAATCTGTATTTTGCAGACAGAATTAAGGTTGAATTTTGCAGACAAGTTAAAATAAGAAGGATTTTGCAGACAAGTTAGATATAGAACAAAATATGAAATGATAGGGGATTATAAGGTAAAATCTGTATTTTGCAGACACAATTAATGTTGAATTTTGCAGACAAGTTAGATATAGAACAAAATATAAAATGATAGGGGATTATAAGGTAAAATCTGTATTTTGCAGACAGAATTAATGTTGAATTTTGCAGACAAGTTAGATATAGAACAAAATATGAAATTTGAGGTGACTATTGGAAAAATCTGTATTTTGCAGACACAATTAATGTTGAATTTTGCAGACAAGTTTGATATAGAACAAAATATAAAATGATAGGGGAGTATATGGTAAAATCTGTATTTTGCAGACAGAATTAAGGTTGAATTTTGCAGACAAGTTAAAATAAGAAGGATTTTGCAGACAAGTTAGATATAGAACAAAATATGAAATGATAGGGGATTATAAGGTAAAATCTGTATTTTACAGACACAATTAATGTTGAATTTTGCAGACAAGTTAGATATAGAACTAAATATAAAATGATAGAGGATTATAAGGTAAAATCTGTATTTTGCAGACAGAATTAAGGTTGAATTTTGCAGACAAGTTAAAATAAGAAGGATTTTGCAGACAAGTTAGATATAGAACAAAATATGAAATGATAGGGTATTATAAGGTAAAATCTGTATTTTGCAGACAGAATTAAGGTTGAATTTTGCAGACAAGTTAAAATAAGAAGGATTTTGCAGACAAGTTACATATAGAACAAAATATGAAATGATAGGGGATTATAAGGTAAAATCTGTATTTTGCAGACAGAATTAATGTTGAATTTTGCAGACAAGTTAAAATAAGAAGGATTTTGCAGACAAGTTAGATATAGAACAAAATATGAAATGATAGGGGATTATAAGGTAAAATCTGTATTTTGCAGACAGAATTAAGGTTGAATTTTGCAGACAAGTTAAAATAAGAAGGATTTTGCAGACAAGTTAGATATAGAACAAAAATATGAAATGATAGGGAATTATAAGGTAAAATCTGTATTTTGCAGACAGAATTAAGGTTGAATTTTGCAGACAAGTTAAAATAAGAAGGATTTTGCAGACAAGTAAGATATAGAACAAAATATGAAATGATAGGGGATTATAAGGTAAAATCTGTATTTTGCAGACACAATTAATGTTGAATTTTGCAGACAAGTTAGATATAGAACAAAATATAAAATGATAGGGGATTATAAGGTAAAATCTGTATTTTGCAGACAGAATTAATGTTGAATTTTGCAGACAAGTTAAAATAAGAAGGATTTTGCAGACAAGTTAGATATAGAACAAAATATGAAATTTGAGGTGACTATTGGAAAAATCTGTATTTTGCAGACACAATTAATGTTGAATTTTGCAGACAAGTTAGATATAGAACAAAATATAAAATGATAGGGGATTATAAGGTAAAATCTGTATTTTGCAGACAGAATTCAGGTTGAATTTTGCAGACAAGTTAAAATAAGAAGGATTATGCAGACAAGTTAGATATAGAACAAAAATATGAAATGATAGGGAATTATAAGGTAAAATCTGTATTTTGCAGACAGAATTCAGGTTGAATTTTGCAGACAAGTTAAAATAAGAAGGATTATGCAGACAAGTTAGATATAGAACAAAAATATGAAATGATAGGGAATTATAAGGTAAAATCTGTATTTTGCAGACAGAATTAAGGTTGAATTTTGCAGACAAGTTAAAATAAGAAGGATTTTGCACACAAGTTAGGTATAGAACAGAATATAAAATGATGGGGGAATATAAGAAAAATCTGTATTTTGCAGACAGAAAAAAAAAATGTTGAATTTATTATTAATCAATAAAATTATTTTCTTTACTTTAATTTTTTCAAAGCTTTTTATTCATTCTTAACTTTATTTATTAGCAATAGTTTTTCAAATTGAATATACAACATGTACATGTATTGACACTTTGAAATAACAATAAACACTGGTACAGATCATTTATTGCTAATTTATTACTAATTGGTTCACACCTTTTAATCATTGAATGTCATTAACAATACACAGGACAAAAGGTCATACAAAGAACTGAAAAGGCTATAAATGGATAAAGAATATTAATAGTAGATATACAGAACCAGCAATTAATTTAAAGTAAAGAAAATAATTATTGAATAATAATAAATTCAACATTAATTCTGTCTGCAAAATACAGATTTTTCTGTTTTATATCTAACTTATCTGCAAATTCCTTCTTATTTTAACTTGTCTGCAAAATTCAACATTAATTCTGTCTGCGAAATACAGATTTTTCTAATATTCCCCCATCATTTTATATTTTGTTCTAAATCTAACTTGTCTGCAGAATCCTTCTTATTTTAACTTGTCTGCAACATTCAACATTATTTCTGTCTGCAAAATACTGATTTTTCTAATATTCCCCCATCATTTAATATTCTGTTTTATATCTAAATTGTCTGCAAATTCCTTCTTATTCTAACTTGTCTGCAACATTCAACATTAATTCTGTCTTGAAAATACAGATTTTCCTAATATTCCCCTGTCATGTTATATTTTGTTCTTAATCTAACTTGTCTGCATAATCCTTCTTATTTTAACTTGTCTGCAAAATTCAACATTATTTCTGTCTGCGAAATACTGATTTTTCAAATAATTCCGTTTCATTTTATATTCTGTTCTATATCTAACTTGTTTGCAAAATCCTTCTTATTTTAACTTGTCTGCAAAATTCAACATTATTTCTGTCTGCGAAATACTGATTTTTCTTATTTTCCCCTTTCATTTTATATTCTGTTCTATATCTAACTTGTCTGCAAAATCCTTCTTATTTTAACTTGTCTGCAAAATTCAACATTAATTCTGTCTGCGAAATACAGATTTTTCTAATATTCCCCTATTATTTTATATTCTGTTCTATATCTAACTTGTCTGCATAATCCTTCTTATTTTAACTTGTCTGTCAAATTCAAGAATATTTCTGTCTACGAAATACTGATTTTCTTTATGTTTCCCCTTTCATTTTATATTCTGTTCTATATCTAACTTGTCTGCAAAATCCTTCTTATCTTAACTTGTCTGCAAAATTCAACATAAATTCTTTCTGCAAAATACAGATTTTTCTAATATCCCCCCCCCCATCATTTTATATTCTGTTCTATATCTAACTTGTCTGCAAAATCCTTCTTATTTTAACTTGTCTGCAAAATTCAACATTATTTCTGTCTGCGAAATACTGATTTTTCAAATAATTCCCTTTCATTTTATATTCTGTTCTTATATCTAACTTGTCTGCAAAGTCCTTCTTATTTTAACTTGTCTGCAAAATTCAACATTATTTCTGACTGCGAAAAACTGATTTTTCTAACATTCCCCTTACATTTTATATTCTGTTCTATATCTAACTTGTCTGCAAAATCCTTCTTATTTTAACTTGTCTGCAAAATCCTTCTTAGTTTAACTTGTCTGCAAAATTCAACCTCTATTCTGTCTATACTTTATGTATTAACTTAAAAAAAGTTATTTAATATTGTTTGTTTGTTATAATAATTATATTCTGTCTCATGCAATTACTTAGTGCTTTTTTTTAATTATATTCTTATATTTTTTTATAAAAGCATAAATTATTCTTAAAAAAAATCATCATTAAAACTATTTTTCAAATAATAAATAAAGTTTTGCAAATAATTATAGATCTTTCTAGATGGTATTAAATCAATATAATTGCCCATTCACACCTTTTGACAAGGGATTAAACACCCCCTATATAATCTATATTGTCTGCAAAATCTAAATTCCTTCTTTATTTAACTTGTCTGCAAAATCCCTCTATGTTTAACTTGTCTGCAAAGTCGTCTGCAAAGTATACCGTCCCTCCAAATTTTGTCGTGATGAGGCTTGTGAGATTTGAAAGGTGAAATCTGTTACTTTGAATGCGTGAGGAAGGACGAATGCTACAACTGGGGAATGCTGCAACAAACTTTATAATTTATTACAGGACAAACAGCTTAGTTTACCTTCGATATCATCTTCGTCCAGTTTTTCTTCAACAGCGTCGTCCTCCTCGTCACTGTCAAGGGAATGTTTTTCTTTAAAACGCCGTGTACTATCGCCCTGTCCAACATGAGCATCATCAAAATGAACTTTTCTTTTTGACATTTTGGAGAAACGCCAAAGAACTATATTGTAATTCAAATGGGAAAAAACGTTTTCTTTTTTTGTGACCGGTGCATATATTTTCAGCACGATATTGAAAATGACAACGGTATAAAACGACTAAAAATATTCACTCTGTATTTAAGATGAACACCACTAAATATGTTTGTAATCCTAAACCGAGTTTTAACCATCGTTTACATAAAATATTGTATAGTTTTAAAGCATTTACAAAATTAAAATGCCTATCAATAAACACTTACTAATTTAGTGTTTGAATTTATTTTGCTACTCTTAATACACTAATCAACAGGTAGGCCCTTTTTATATAAATACTTTGATAAATCGAAGTTCTAGTAATTCGATTGTTTAAAGTGTTTTCAAAATTGACTTCAAACACTAAATTGATTAGTAACCTTCATATGATCTCTAACAAAATATTCAGATCAATTGTCAGATTTGGCTGACATATACACGGACTGTATAATTATGACATAACAACTATGTGCTCTGTTAGCCCGTCACGTTTACCCCCAGCATCCTATATTTAATGAGACTGATGCAGTCTCATACAAGTAAGTTTTATTCTAGGAATTACCTCAAATGCATCAGCAATAAAATTTGTATTTACAATTATAGTGATTTGGAATATGTAAACCGCAATTATTTTGTGAAGTTCAATATCCATTGCGTATATACTATGTATGTAACTAAAAATAACAGTATATAGTAGTACCTCTTCTTAACTTTGAAGAGCACTTGAAAAGTAAAAGGAATATGTTGCTAACGAGGTCGCGCGCCAATATTAAGTACTCAGATATCATATTATTTTAGTTTATATTATAACATTTAGTCTACATAGTTGGTACAGGACTAAATTTACTTCTGTAAATCTTACATTTATAAACAAAATGAATAACAAGAACTACAACATTTCGGTAAGTAATATGCATGCGTGTGTTAGTGCGCTTAATTAATTTAAATGTTATTTATCACATATCTTTTTGTTTATGTTGAAAACCAAGGTAACATAAATGACATATACTCACACACGATATAAGTCTTAAATTGCTCAATGTTTACTAAATAAAATATCTGTATAGGTTAAAAGATTTTGTTAGTCAGCATAAATGAAATTAGATCTGTTTTGCGCGGCGCGTCAACGTTTAATGGAAATAATGCTGATTTGACTATTAGTCTAACACTTTGATATTGTTTTGAATCGTTTATATACTGCTGATGTGATACGCTAATTTTTATACTGTATACAAGTTCGTGTGGAAAAAATAAATTGAATGTAACAAAACATTCAAAAATGGAACGAACTCATTTGACAAATTTTTATAATATAAATCATCTTTTACATTTTGCCATTAACTTTGAAAGTACAATTATCATTCATGCTTAAATTATAGATGAGCCAAAATATTCCGAGAAATCAAACTTGAGGGAAATTTACTAATATTTTAAGAAAAGTAAAAAAAAAAGATAATTATTTACATGTCATGTGCGATTAATTATTGATTTTGCAGTATTTATTACACTATTTCTACTGCGTGATGCTATTATTGCATATTTTGGCATCTCTTTGGTAATTAACGTGGATTGTAAGTGCCGTATGCAATGCGTAAATTACTCTTTTTTATTTCACTTAACAATATTTTACCTTTGAATACATTTTTAAAATTTTAATGAAAATTAGCATCAATATGGAGGCATGCTGCTTCAATATATAACGTTTAGACAGGGCATTTTATGTTTAATTTCAGACTCAACACCCGTACTTTAACAAAACATATTTCCCGATAGAAGACTACTATGACATCGAGGAATTCTACGAAATAGAAACATTTCGAGCATGGGAGGAAAAGTTCGAAACTGTCCGAACTTTAAACAAGATTTTTCTTGTCGTCTGCATAGTTCTAGTTGTCATCGACTTCCTGTTGATGTTTACCGTCCTCTCTGCGCCTGTAAGGAAAGAGTCAGCAAGCTGGTACCTGTATCATCTTAACTTTGTGACAATTCTTCAAGTTATTTTCGCTCTTCCAAGACTTGAGGCATCTCTTCATGAAACATACGGATTTTGCATGTTTTTCACGTTCACAGAATGGGTCTTGACACTAGCACACTATGTTAGCATTGTTTTGATGGATATTGAAATTCTTGCAAACATTTTTGCATTGGATCCGAAATGGAAAAATAATCCTAGTAAACGATTTCATATATCAATTGCTGTAACATGGATCTCGTGCATTCTTTTTTCGGTAATTGCGGTGTTCTTTGGGCACGAAGAACACTCCGCGCTCCCAATCTGCTTCAATTTGAATAAAACTGCGGAAACCATGGGACATGTCTTGAAAAACCTTTTACCTTTTCTTTTTACAACTGGTTTAATGATTGCAGGAATAACGCTTTTTATTCACTCGAAAAGAAATCCGGAAACCTACACACATGTAACTCAATATCGGCTACAGACCTTTAACGAATGGTTCGTGTGCTTTTTAATTTGGAATTCTTTCATTGCGTTTGCAGAAATTTTGGCACACAATATGCATTTGCATGTTGTTACTTTTGACTTTGTTTGGGATGTGGCCTTCCAAATGATCATCTTTATAATACACATCGGACTTCCGGTGAGCTGCCTCATTCTTCAACCAGTGCGCACGACTTGTGAGCAATCGGCGATGACAGTCTATCATTATGTTACTGGAAAAAGCAGATCGTGTTCAACGGATTCTCCCGAGGTTCAGCTGTTAAGAGTTGAATCTTCCGACTGATGGGTCATCGGCAACTTAATAATAGCAGCTTTAGACGGGGTAAACATTTTAGATCTAAAGACAGTGTTCATATTGGCAATTTAAGACCCAGCGTTCATTTTGGCAACATAAGACTCATACTGTTCATGTTGGTTACTGAAGACAAAGTGTTTGTATTTATTGGAAACACGAGACACAGTATTCATATTGTTTTGCATAATACAACTTGTTCATATTGGTAATTAAGACGCCGTTTATATTGGTAACATGAAACACATTGTTCTTAATGATAACATATAAGACACAGTGTTTATATTGCTATCATAAGACAGAGTGTTCATATTTGTAGCATAAGACTAAGTGTTCATATTGGTAACATAAGACATTGTTGATATAATTATTGGCAACATGACACAGTGTTCATATTGGTAGCATAAGACACAGTGTTTATATTGGTAGCATAAGACATTGTTAATATAATTATTGGCAACATGACACAGTGTTCATATTGGTAGCATAAGACACAGTGTTTATATTGGTAGCATAAGACACAGTGTTCATATTGGTAGCATAAGACAAAGTGTTCATATTGGTAGCATAAGACAGTGTTTATATTGGTAGCATAAGACACAGTGTTCATAATGATAGCATGAGACAGTGTTCATATTGGTAGCATAAGACACACTGTTCATATTGGTAGCATAAGACACAGTCTTTATATTGATAGCATAAGACATAATGTTTTATATTGGTAACAAAAGACACAGTGTTCATATTGGTAGCATAAGGCCAATAGTTCATATTGGTATCATAAGACAATGTTAATATTGGCAATATAAGACTCAGTGTTCATACTGGCTACGTAGATCATGTTTATAATGGTAAAATATGACACTTTTATATTGGTAGCATAAGGCAGAGTTCATATTGGTAGCATAAGACACAGTGTTTATATTGATATTATAAGACACAATGTTCATATTGGTAGCATAAGACAAAGTGTTCATATTGGTAGCATAAGACACTGTGTTTATATTGGTAGCATAAGACACTGTGTTCATATTGGTAGCAAATGACACAGTGTTTATATTGGTAGCATAAGACACAGTGTTCATATTGGTAGCATAAGACAAAGTGTTCATATTGGTAGCATAAGACAGTGTTTATATTGGTAGCATAAGACACAGTGTTCATATTGATAGCATGAGACAGTGTTTATATTGGTAGCATAAGACAAACTGTTCATATTGGTAGCATAAGACACAGTCTTTATATTGATAGCATAAGACACAGTGTTCATATAGGTAGCATAAGGCCAATAGTTCATATTGGTATCATAAGACAATGTTAATATTGGCAATATAAGACTCATACTGGCTACGTAGATAGTGTTTATAATGGTAAAATATGACAGTTTTATATTGGTAGCATAAGGCAGAGTTCATATTGGTAGCATAAGACACAGTGTTAATATTGATATTATAAGACACGTTTTATATTGGTAGCATAAGACACTGTGTTTATATTGGTAGCATAAGACACATTGTTCATATTGGTAACATAAGACACTGTGTTTATATTGGTAGCATAAGACACATTGTTTATATTGGTAACATAAGACAGTGTTTATATTGGTAACATAAGACAAGTGTTTATATTGGTAGTGTTTATATTGGTAACATAAGACAAAGTGTTTATATTGGTAACATAAGACACAATGTTAACAATATAAGACAGTGCCCATATTGGTTGACATAGTGTTCATATTTGTAACATAAGACGTAGCTTTCATTTTGGAAGCATAAGACACCTTGTTCAGATTGGTAAATTTAGACACCTTGTTCAGATTGGTAAATTTAATCAAATATATTATTTGAAGATAAAATGTCTCTGGTAAATGGAGATATGGAACCTTGAAATTAAACCATTTTCCCCTAACTAGAACTCCGCGAGTCGGATGTGTTGCCTTGTGAACAATATAGTTTAAGAGAAATGGCCAGGACAAAAATGAAATTTGAAAATCAACAAAGGGCAATAACTCAAAAAATAAGAAATGCAGATCAGCAGTTTCTGTGCACTGCACTTCTTATCAATAAGATCTATCATACTATTAAGTTTCAAGTCTAAAGCTTTTATAATTTATGAGAAATGGCCTGGACAAAAATAAAGTATGAAAATTAACAAAGGGCAATAACTCAAAAAATAAGAAATTTAGAGTACCAATTCTTGGGCACTGCACTTCTTATCAATAAGATCTATCATCCTATTAAGTTTCAAGTCTAAAGCTTTTATAATTTATGAGAAATGGCCTGGACAAAAATAAAGTATGAAAATTAACAAAGGGCAATAACTCAAAAAATAAGAAATGCAGAGTACCAGTTCTTGGGCACTGCACTTCTTCTTAATGAGATCTATCATCCTATGAAGTTTCAGGTCCATAGCTTTTATACTTTAGGAGAAATGGCCTGGACAAAAATAAAGTATGAAAATTAACAAAGGGCAATAACTCAAAAAATAAGAAATGCAGAGTACCAGTTCTTGGGCACTGCACTTTTTCTAAATGAGATCTATCATCCTATGAAGTTTCAGGTCCATAGCTTTTATACTTTAGGAGAAATGGCCTGGACAAAAATAAAGTATGAAAATTAACAAAGGGCAATAACTCAAAAAATAAGAAATGCAGAGTACTAGTTCTTGTGCACTGCACTTCTTCTTAATGAGATCTATCATCCTATGAAGTTTCAAGTCCATAGCTTTTATACTTTAGGAGAAATGGCCTGGACAAAAATTAAGTATGAAAATAAACAATGGGCAATAACTCAAAAAATAAGAAGTGCAGAGTACCGGTTCTTGTGCACTGCATTTCGGGTCATTATAAGAAGCATGCATACCAAGTTTGAAGTCAATACAACTTATAATGACTGACTTATGCTCCGGACAAGCTTTAGGGGACGCCGAGACCGACACCGACAACGACGCCGCCGACAAAAGTAACCCCTATATGTCGCCTTTTTCAAGGCGACACAAAAATATACTACAATTGTATATAAGTTTTGATATATTGTTGCTTTATACTAAATACTTTTCAATGTGCTCTTTTTTTCATCTATATATATTTCAATACAATGTATTCTGAAAAGATTTTATATGTGCCTTTTTTCAACTGTTGAAGTGAAAGTTCTCAAAGACCTTTGAAGGTCACACTGGGTACTTTCCTCTTGTGAGATCAAAACATTACAAACATGTTACGGAAAAAGACATACTATGTAAACAGGATGTGTTATAGACATCAAGCTCTTAACGTTCTCAGAGTTTGATAATAAATCATCAGTTATGCTGGAATTTTCTAGGTTTATAAAGGGGAATAATTACATAAAATTCCAAGCTGGAGTTATGCCTCTTCATCACTGACAAAGAAATATGCTCAAGTTTTCAAAGCTGTGCTTTGAAGATACTAGCTTGCATGAAAAGATCTTAACAAATGGCATACAGTAAAATTTAAGTTAAGAGTTATGGGTCTTGGATCATGAATAATTTCTCTGATTACAAAGACATGTATGATGTTGCAAGGACATGAAAAAGTAAAAATCCAACACTATTATTATATTTCTAAGTTTCTTTAATACAGTTTGTAAATTATATAAAGCTCACAGTGTCACCTATTTGCTGCCTTTGAAGGATAAATAGTTTGTCTCAATAAAATTAATACTGAATATATAAATATTTTCTCTTAAAACAGAATAAATAACAAGTTAAGATAATTAGCACAATAATAGTGAATGTCAACAGTTGCTAAGCAACAGTTTCATATAGAGAGTAACAAGTGAACTTTAACAGATAAAGTCTTTAAAATTCTTAAAAAATAAATACTTTTCACCCTTAACCTTCTGAATTATTTTAACTTGTCAGATTTGTAGGATCCATCAAAAATAAAAACTAAAAAAAAAATTAATTAAAAAAAATTATAAAATGCTCCCCCCAGAGTTATTTTCCAATTGTAAAATATTTATTTATGCAACATTTTATTATAATCAAACAATCGAAAAGTGAAAAGAAAGTTTTGCATTTTAACATCTATTTCTTTAATTATATTAATAAAAACCCATTATGAAATGTTACAATTATTGCTGTCTGATATTCTTAAAATTTTAAAAACAATAAAGTATTATCAAAGAGAAATAAAATTAAATAAAACTGTATTTTAGTTTGATTGATGCTGCACTTTTTCTCCGGTCGCCCCTTTACTGGTCTTCTCACTTTGTTCAGTTGTGTCTTTTTTTAGCACCTGCAACAAAATGTAGGACATTTTTAAAAAATACCCTAAATTTCTCTAATATACATGTATGACGCTCCAGTAATTTTTGTTGTTGTTGTTTTTTTTTTTGTTTTTGGGGGGGGGGGGGGGTTTACGTCAA